TTGCAAAAATGTCTCACTTTCACATTCACCGGTCCCACATAGCACGCGGTTCGCCCAATCTCAGCACGGCCCTGCAGGTGGAGTCTGTTTTTCTACAGCGGTGTATATTTCCTCGTCATATAAGTTGTTCCTCTTTGCCAGCCGAAATCTGATTACTTCTTTGGTGGAAGTACATCATAATGAGCGAAGAATGTGGCTCCACTGCGCGCAAATGTCGTTTTTTTTGAAGAGTATTCTCTGGGAGTAGGTGTGCGAACTACAGTCGAGCATCTCGTATTCATTTGCAACCTTCCAAGCGTCATGCTACTACCCAGTCCCTACTCAACTCAGTTTTATAGGTACGTTTTGCATGGTAGACGTGTCTGTGCTTGTTTTCAAAGCTCCAGTCAAAAAGGTTTGGGTTTGGAGATACATTTTTTAGGGACTAGATTTCCATGCTTCACCAAAACGGTACATTTTCGCTATTGATTGAGTGCAAGTAGTTATTTGTTTTTTTTCTGAGTAAATAATTAATGGGATATATTTTTTTTAATTATACAGTCGTGTTAAGTTACCACCTCATTTTGAGAAGAAGTCGGTTAAAAGTGAATAGCAGTAAAACATTATGGCTTAATATGCATGCAGTATTTTCAAATTGTATGCATGTAAACCAAAATATGTCGGTTTCCCACGCATGAGACACACATATGTATGTGGGTGTGATAAACAAGAACAACAAAATTATGTATTACACCGTGCGACAGTAAATTTTACACACAAAAAAAATGAATATATTTGCGAAACTATGGGTAAATTATAGTAAAACTGCGTACTTGGTTTTTCGCTCTGACGTCTGGATTTTTTTAAAGAACTTTGAAATTTAAAAAATATGATAATTTCAAAAAATTATTTTTAAAAAATTCAGTGCAATGTAAGGTAACAATAAAGGTATCATATAAAAATAAAAATTCTGTAGAATAATAACATAATAAATTTTTTGGTGCATAATGGCGAATGGGTTAGAAGATGTCCTTTTGAAATTTCGTCCTTAAATATCCTTGAAAATTTGCAATATTTTGTTTTTGAAAAAATAATTGTTTGAGGACTAATGTACGCATAACCTCATCATCGAATTTCGTCCAGCAAACTTTTGACTTAAAAAGATAAAATTTATTAAAAACACATTTTCAATACCTACTTATCCTTTTAAACCAAAAAAAAACTTTATTGTCTTTAAATTCAGAATTTTCCCTCTCATTTGGTACCCATATTGTTTTTCTACATTGCACTGATTTTTTAAAATAATTTTTTGAATTAATCAAACCCTTAAAATTTCAAAGTCCTTTGAAAAAAAATCCTTACGTCAGAGTGAAAAACTAAAAACGCAGTTTTACTATATTTGGCCCATAGTTTCGTGAGTGTATCGATTCTTTCGTGTGTTTTGAATATTTTTTTTTGGTTTTTGTCGCACGGTGTTCTAAGTATGTATATTTAAGCTCTCTAAAGCTTTAACCCATTCACCTTGCGAAGTATTTGGTTAATGCAGTAAAGATTTAATTACTTACTTTTATTAACATCAAACTGAATTTGTGAAGATCTAAGCCGTTGAAGTAGTGTGAATACGTAATCAATATGTAGTTACAAGTTTTCTAATAACGTTTGAACATAGACTGAATTTGGCACTCTTTGACCCACTTTAGAGCCAACCTGTATCTTAGTTATGGCTGCTAACAAATGCATACATACATATGTATGTACATTGTACAAATCACTAGACGTAGAGATATTCATGTACTTACATACATACATATATTTGTGTGCATATCCATTTAAGATTGATGCATAATAAGTTATGTAGCTTCTACATACGCGTTTATGTTCGAGACAGCTCCAAGTAACACAATAGCTGTTAATGTGATTGAATGTAATTATTTGAAGCCATTCGCTATTTAATTACCTCCATATGAATGTTTGTATGTACATACATACATATGTAGGCGCATCTGTGTGTGAATGCTTTTATCTGAATAGTTTCTAAAGCAGTTGGCTTTTCGCTTCGAGGATTGCACATTCTTCAATTCGTACCCAGCAGCAAAGATTTGTAGTATTTAATATTTTTACCTAAAAAGATGAGAACAAATAAACACTCGTTACAGACCATAAAGGCTTCTTGGCTTAAAATTTTCAATAATTTGTATAATTGTTTTTAACGAAGAATTTTCACTCCCTGAAGTTTTCGGAGGTAAGCCCCAGATACTTGACCCTGAGGCTCCCGAAAAGTACTTTTAGCGTTTTTCGGTTAATGGTGCTTCCGACAGCATAGGAGTATGTGCTCTTTTGGAACCTCTCTCTCGGTGAAGGAAAAATCAAAAAAGGTATGATGAAAATTCACACATTCACATTGTTTTTAGCTCTTGACCTGCAGTTGTGCTTTGAGCTGTGCCACAAAATTTTGAAGAACGGAATTTATTTGGAATTAAAGAGTCTGAAAGTTTTGAAAAAAGACAAAAAAAACTAACCACTCTTCATCTGCTTACCTAGCAACTTAAAGTGTGTTCTTCGTAGGTGTCCATAGTGAATTTATGTGAGTAGTTTTCAGCTGGGGGCATTTGTATCTCTTTTGCACTAAAATACTACTACTTTACTACTACAAATATATGTAAATGCATTGTAGTGTATATCATTGTACTCATCCTGATGTGTGCTATGCATAGTTTCACTTGTAATTTAGTTAAGCGCCAGTCGTCTTTCAATTAAATCTTGCGTAATAATACGCTCTGAGATAAGAAAATTAGCACGATAACTACCTTGATTATTTATGAAGTGTGCACAGACATACATGCATACATATATATGTACATGCAATTGCGAGTCTAAAATTAAACATCCATTGTGCTAAGATAGACCTCAAAGTCTAACGAATGGTAAAAATATTTCTTGCGATCGAAAGTGAATGTTGTTACTTTGGTATAAAGGCGCTGGTATTGAGCAAATTAACTCTTGTTGAGTGTTACCAGAAAATCAATAGTTTTTTAGTATTCAGTTTACTATAACTTCCATAGACTTAAGATCGTAGCAGAACAAAAAAACGTCGCCCTACATCTCTGAGTCTAAAGTATTTTTGCAAAGCAATTTCGAAATTTCTATTTTTTTGCCGAACGTAACGGTCGCCTTTTTACATTTTTCGTCATATCTTCGGCATTTGAAGTCGGATCTGAAAGTGTGATATATATCGATGCTCTTGTCTAGTGAAGACAATTTTTTGTTTCAAAGTTACAATTTTTTGTTTCAAAGTTCTTTGACCTCAAGTACCCCGTTCTAGTACTTACCCACCTGATCTCAATTCCCACCACCCTAATGTAAGTAGATTAAAGCTCTCAAATAATCATTATGCTATTTTTAAGGCAATATTTTGGTTACTCCAGTAGAACTATGTCAAAAAAAAATAAAAATCCGTATGAGAATAGGTTTGGTAACCTATGAAAATAGGCGCCACCGAAAAACAAAATTTTTTTTTCGAAATTCCATCGCAAAAATTCTTTAGGCGCAAATTTGCTACTGCTTGGCCGACCTTATTTTACAATTGTGGTATGCACCCCGTAAACATACCTTAAATAAATACCAGGCATATGTACCTCGGTTGCTGAGTTTTGTGTATAAACGAATTTTTTTGCGAAAATAATTTTTTACATTACTAATATCGCTCATTCATATGGAATTTTTGGGCTAATAATGCAAATTTACGCAATAGTTAATATTTCATATTCGGCATTTTGAGAATAAATCTAAAACTTCAATACCGCCTTTTTTGAGTTATGGTGTTGTTTTAGAAAATGAGTGATATGTACTTGTATACACACCAAATCGAGTCATATGGAATGGAATGGAGGTTTTTTAAGCCGTAAAACGCAAGACTATTTACCAAGCACTAAGGTATAGTTTTTCATTATACCTAAGGAGAAAGGATTAAGAGGACTTACCAGACTCTTTCAGGAACCTTAGTAGTTTGTCGCATGAAGAACGCAGTGAGTCGTCGATGAGATGTATGGTAAGCATATGCCGTCTACATGGATTATGTTTCATAATCAGTCAATTGAGGGCAAAAGCCTCTATGCCTGAGAAGCTCTTTCGCAACCACCTGATGCTCCAAGAGATCGCATTTTGTGAGTTCAGCCACGTTTTTTTGGGTATCCGAACCACTGTGCGGTTTAGGTTGGCATTTTTAAAAAGCTTAAACACCTTGAAACTAACTTTAGTCTTGAATAGTTAGTTACCGGCATGTTGACGCATCTGCTAAATATATTAGCTATATACGGAAAAAAAAATTGCCGTTTTTCCTCAGGAATTATAAAATTAATTGTATTTTAAGACTTAAGCGAAATAGTGCGAAAAATACAAGGATTTATGTGAGCGAGAACGTTTTTAAAATACCTCGAAAAATAAAGTTTTTTATACAAAAAATTATTTTATACAATTTTTGTTTTCAAAAAATTATTTCAGAAGAATTTAAGCTTAAAAGGTCTGCAGGAAAATGGTGAAAGATTGTTATGAACGGAATCAAAATAACTAGATTTTTGGAGATATTTGCAAATCTTAATATTTTTCCGAACTATTTTTACAGAAGTCTTAAAATATAATCAGTTTTATGTATGGAAAGATGCACCCTAATGCAGGTACTTTAAATTTTGTATATGTAATAAAACATTTAAGGGTTAAGACTTCGTATACTTATAAAAAATATTAACATTTTTTTTGTACTTTTTATCTTACTTTTACCAAGAAATTTGGGGACAGTTGTTCATCCTAAACGCGATTTCTGAAATCCATTTCATGAAATCTTCTACTTCCATTAATGTTTCGCATACTACCCTGTTAAAAAAGGGAGTTTCTACGCACACTAAACTATTCAGGTGCCATTGAATTCTAAAATTATGCCTTTCACTTTCTAAGTTACGAAATAAAAATGGTATTCACTTACCTTTAACTTTGTTTTAACATTACGCTACTTGGTTGATGACAAAAAAAAAACTAGATTTGAGCTTCCTTCCAGTTCACTTCAGAGCATTGCAGAGTTCAGCCAACATTCAGTGATGATGCTCTGCCATTAGGTGTCTGCTTGTTGGCCCGTCAGTCAATTCTCTTCTACTTGTCTGACTTTTGTGTTCATTGGCGACAGGAAAAAGGTCCTTCCGCCATACGCAAACTGTTAACACATCTCATTAAATATGAGTGTAAGTATGTTGGCACAATTCTTTTCATAGACATACGAGTACGGCAATGTGTTCTTTTTTTTTGTGTTGTTCATGTCGCACATTCACGAATACATACATAGGTATGCGCAAGCACACATACGCATACACCCACTTGTAAACGCCCGCATATTGTGTGGCATCTCGCACGATTCGTTCGCATTGCGCACATTATATGAGGCATAAGCGAATGGCATCTAATTGTGTTTATGCATTTTGTAATTTAGCAGCAATGGAATATGTTTTTCTATGCTCTCTCCTGCTGCTTGCCCTCAGCTGTATCGTCATATTTTGTACTATTTTATGACACATTTTCCCTTAGTATTTTTTTTGTTTGTCTTTTTTTCTTCTAAATTTTTATCATACATATATGCCAGGAATGTGTATATGTGTGAGTATGTGCAAACAGCCTCGACAGTGAAATGATTTTTCTACGGTTGAAATGTTACGGTGAAGCTTCGTTGCACATTGGTGACATTTGCTTGGGTGTCGTAGTGGGAGGTACAATGGCTTGGGGTGCTAACTATAATGGGAAAAAATTAAATAAGAAAGAAGAATTTCCATTAAAGCTTCTTAGAGTAAACTAAACTCGCGTGCGACCGATCAAGAGAAACTATAAAATCCAAGGAATAAATAATACTGGACGATAGGTCGAGGCCACGAAATGAGCGGCAAAGCGGCGCCATACAAAAATGCCGCTCAGCCGCTCAGAAATGCCGCTCAGAGCATGGCCACTTCAATAGTATTTGATGTTTTAATTAAGCCACTCAGCCGCTCGCCGCTTTGCCGCTCATTGCGTGGCCTCGGCTTAAGGGTAAGGTCAGCTGAGATTAACGGGACCGCATTTTCCGAAGAAAGGGCTCTTTATCGTGTTCATTCTAAAGTTTTAGCCTACTCCGTATATCTCCTGTATCCGAATCTGAAGAGTGGCGCGCTAAAAACAAATTTCCACTTTCAGCACTTATTATTTGTAAGAGATACAAAAATTGGAAAAACGCTAGCCTAAATGAATCGAGACACTACCTTTCCGATGCAAAATCGAATTATCGAAATCGGTTGTCGTGGTCCAAAGTTATCCGGTAACATAAAAAAAAATGAAAAATGAATTTTAATTACTAACTTTTATTAGCTACAGCATATTTTTTGTTGAAATGTTTTGGCTAATCAAGGCAATTACATGAAACATTTTTAAAATATCGTAGTTTTCATTCATGAAAAAGTCACTGGTAAATACATATTTATTAGCAAATATATTCACAACAGCTGTTGTACATATGCAAAAATATGTTAGTTCCCACTAGTTAATCCCATTGTACTTTGGCCTCAAATGGCAACTTGAGTTGGCTTCATCTGCCACCTTGCAGTGCCTTAACATTGCTGCCCATAGCAGCTTAACACATGCGTTCAGGCTTTACTCGTACCAAAGATCTATGCACAGACTTGCGGTTCGTATTAGGGTGGGTCAGTAAAAATATTGAAAATATTGCTAGTATGAACGATGGCACGCAATGAATAATGGGATCGTGTTAGCTAGTTGGAGATAAAAATCAGTGAAAACGGCTGATCAACCTTTAAGACTAGCGTATGTTCAAGGTTCCAAGAGATACGTCTCTTTTATAGAGTCTCTAAGCGACTGTTTAATCTTAGTTGGGGAGTGAAAGGACTCTTACTAGATACCTGATAGAGCACTGCGGGATATCTTCTTTGATAAGTGGGACTTATTGAGAACACGAGCTGCAGAATTTGTAAGCTGGCGAAAAAAGCCCCGTACTTTATTTCATTCACAAACTCTCTTTCAAATGTGAGTGAAAATATTACAAATGAACATAACTATTTAGAATTAAAAGCCAGGTATCGGAGAAGCATACATATTTTGTTCTACGCCTAAAACTTCGTGGTAGGGCTTAGCCAAAGTTTATTTAGGTTCCCGCACTACCGAGACTACGTAGAAAAAAAATTATTCTTTCCAGAGCTCATTCAGCTGTGATGATATAAAAGATTTTCCAGATATCCTTATAGAATTCTTACATTCTTACATTTACTCGTGCCATGCGACTTTCTCTATTTTATGCGTGAAAACAGGACCTGTCCTAATGCACACACTCTTGTAAATACCACAAATGACACCTATACACATACTTATAAGCGCTTATCTGCTCCCATATCTACGTTTGTACATTGCTTTGTATTGTATTTAGTATACGTTTTTATAATCATGAACTTGCATAGCATACACCGGCTTAGCTCCTGTCGTTCACACACACACTTCGAAGAGAGCACACACACACACACACACACAAATTTAAACTCAGCTTCCCAGCAGTTAATTTAGGTCTGTAGTATGGCAATATATCTATACGCAAAGCTCGAGAAGAACTGTACCGTTTTTTGTTTTTTAAATTTCGGACACTTCCTGCAGACTTTCTAAGGATAGTTATAGGCTAAATAAAAATTAAGTATTTGAAGGGGGCTCACATTCACACCAAATTTTTTTTCTTCAGCATATCTCTGGAAGTGTTCATGAGGAAAAATTGGGGGTTATTCGAAAAGTGGGCGTGCCACCTCCTATACAAACCGATTTTTTCATACTTCATATTTCTGGAAGTGTTCATGGTAGAGTACTGGCACTTGGTACTCAGGTACCTGGGTCAGGTGGTCCAAAGCGACCACTGGATTATGTTGTGCGTTTATTATGGCGCTTTGTTTCAACATTACACATTTGTGTATGTTGTGTGTTGTGTTGTAGTTTTGACGCTTTGCTATGCAGCTGATTATTTAAGTGTATATTGTCTGTTGTCAATTCACTGTGATGGCACATTTGTGTTTGCTATTTGTAGGCGACGCTTTTATGCGGATTGTGTGTGAAGCAGAAAGACTTTAACCTAATTTAAATTTCCCCTCAACCTGCCACATCACTAACACATCGGATATAAATATTTATGAATATAAGCCACTGATATGTTGTGGGCATATGAAGTTAAACGAATATTGACAGTTGCCAACGATACTAACGGAATGCTGTGTTATCGTAAAATAATATAATTTATGAAAATATTTATATTTTTATGTGGAAATAATCATCGTAAACTTGCGTTTTGATTAACTTTTATTGACGTTTTAATAGGTGGTTTTTTCGTAGTCTAAATGTTTTAGGGAAGATGGCTTAACTTACTCAGATATTTCTCATCCTGTTATCCAGTAGTAGCTGATTAAATCCAGCAGGACAAGTTATACAGATTTCAGGGCAGTATAGCAACTTTATGTTGGCCAAAGCCTATTTACCGCACGACTTGACTATCTGCATTGAATGTTAGTTGAGAAGGAGCGGCATCCTCTTTGCTTTCACAAAATTTTCTATATATGTACCTCGCTAAAAAAATCAAATTTCTTGGCGTACGCTCTTACGCATTTTATTTCATATGAAAAAGTACAAAAATCCGTCTAAAAACAAAATTATTAAAAAATCAACGCGATTTTTTAAACCCTTGAAATGGAAATTTTTTGGCTTTTAAAACTGCATAACAAAAAATTTTCTTCAATTTCAAAAGTTCGAAATTCTGAATTTTTTTTTTTATAATTCTTCTAAACTTTTTATTAAGTTTGATGATTTTTTTTTAATTGTTAGCAGAAGCTTTTAATCTTATTTAAGTCTAGCTAACTAACCGCCCGCTTTAATCAATGTGCAACGCAATGTTTGCTTTTTTCTCGTTATTTTACATATATTTGTACATAAGTATATTATACTAACCGCACATACGCAAGTACGTATGTACGTAACGACCTCTACTAAAACATGTCAACCCGTTAACAACCCCTTTTCGTTTCTGCGTTTAATGTGACGTTAAGCACATTTCGCATTTTTGGATTTCTTTGGTTATTATCGCTTCTTTTGGTTGACGCTTCGTTCGTTATTATCAGCGCAAAATTTGCTGCTTCTGCTGCTGTGAAAAGTTTTCGTAACTTATTTCGAGTGACCGGAAACATTGCATTTTCCCATTTCCTGTTGCTGTATTTCGTTGCTGCTTTTTGATCAATTTGTGGTTTTTTATTTTATATTGTTGTTTTTTGTTTGACAAGAAAATTTTCATTATCTACGTTTTTTCATTTAATTTTGTCTTGCTAAACATATATATACTTAAATATATGTACATACCTTCTTAAGCATACATATCTAAATCCATACACTGCTTTGGTCTATCTTACTTTCCGCTTTACTTGTTGTTCGCCATTTTTTTTAACTCCACTTAACGCCTTTATGCCCTTATTATCGCTGTTATTTATTTGCAATAATTTTGGGAGGGTCAAATACTTATTTAAGTACATATTTCATACATAGACAAGTAATTTTTAAGCAAAAACCTAAACCGACTGCAATTCTCGTATACAAATTTAAGAGTACCGTTAATTTCTTCTGAGGTATCACCTTTGCTTTAGAAAAAAAAAGAATTATAGAAATCGGCTAACATTGGTTCAAAGTTATGCCGGCAACATACGTAAATAAAAAAAAATATTCCGACGAATTGATAACCTCCTCCTTTTTTGAAGTCGGTTAAAAATGCTTCAATTGGGTAGAGACTAGGGGAAAATATTTATTAAGTTGCCCCTAGCGCATGAAACACTAGATATATTACTTAACTATAACGGGATTTTGTAAGCATAAACATAAATTAATTGTTCGACGTTACCTACACTGCCGGCAAAAAGTATTGGCACAGCAAATTTTTCCCACAATATATGCATACATTTTTTTATAATACTTTTCCGCTAATTTTTTTAATAAAAATATGGTTTGTTCTAGAATAAAAAACATAAAAATATAATTCCGAAACTTTGTGCAATACTCCCAAAAATTCAGCAAATTTTCAACTTTTTAATCAGATTTTTTAGAATAGTTTTGAGTACGCAGTTTTGCATCGCATTGAATTTTGAGAATTTTTTTTTGGTGAAGGTGTTTTATTTGTTATTTTATGTTTATGTGTTATTTTTTTCGTATAAAGTATTTTCGATTTTTTTTTGTATGGATGAGACTGCGTGAAAAAAAAAATTGCCAAAAATCAACGATAATTCTTAGCTACTTAAAACTTGTACTTTGTTATAATAAAATTGATTGGGCTACAAATCTGCATACTCAAAAAAAAAACTCTAAAAAATCTGATTAAAAAGTTTAAAATTTGCACAAAAATTAGTTGAATTTTCGTGAGTTTTGCACAAAGTTTAGGAATTATATTTTAATGTTTTTTGTTGTAGATTGAACCATATTTTTATAAAAAATTGGCGGAAAAATATTAGAAAAAATTTGTTGCATATATTGTGAAAAATTTGCTGTGCCAACACTTTTTGCCGGCAGTGTATATTGTTAGATGTGATTATTTATATATGTATATGATGAAAAATAAGAAAAGTGAGTTACATGAATGAAAGCAGGCTGCTATAACTTACTTTATGACAAGGTTAACTCCCTGAGAATGGGAACCCTCTACTATCTCTAATTCTAACAAACAAAAAAATGTACACTGTTGTTTC